ACATTAAAAGATTACTGGCAGAAATCATAGAAGAAAATTTCCCAAGGATGGAAACAGAACCCGACATACAGGTAAATGAAGCATTTAGAATGCCAAACAATCACAACCAAAATAAAACTACACCAAGACATTTAATAACACCTAAAACAAAATAAGGGAAGGGAGGGGACCTCTGCGGATATAGTTCAGTGTGAAGGCCCTGGGTTTAATCCCCAGTACTACTACAAAGAAGGAGAAGGAGAAGGAAGAGAAGAGGGTGAGCGGAGAAGAAAGGGAAGAAGGGGGAGGAGGAAGGGAAGAGAAGGGGGACAGGAGCAGCAGAAGCAGCAGCTATCTTAACTATATTTTGTAACCCAAATTTTCTTTCCTTCCTCTCTTCTTCCCTTCCTTTCCTCTTCCCTCCTTCTGTCCCTCCCTCCTTCCTTCCTTCCCTCCACTATGTAGCCCAGGCTGGCCTTGAACTTACTACAATCCTCCTGCCTCAGCCTCCCAAGTGCTGGGATTGCAGACATGTGCCACCATGCCTGGCTTCATGCTATGTTTCTGATAGTCAAATTTAAAAGTTAATTCAAGAAAAACTAGTTTTCTTAAAATTCTGTATTATAGGGTTCCTGCACACAAGGAAGTGACTTAGAATAAAGATGCTACCGATAGACTACAGTGAAATGTTGGCTCATCATTGGTAAGAAAACATTATCTTTTCCCCAACAGTCTGAATTATTTTAAGCCTTTAAAAATGCAGTTACTTTTGAGTAGTTAAATCAAGATAATCTGAAGAAACAGGGAATGCTGACAGCACGACTACTGAGGTTATGTAACAAGGTCTCAGGAGCCATTTTAAAGAAGCTCTCCTGGCCAAAGACAGAACACTGTCAGCATCAATAAGCAAAATATCTACATTGGATTAAAAATACATAAAATAGGTCTAAATCTAGGTTCATAATAATAAAAGAATTCACTGGAGAATACAGAAATTATTGCAAAAATTAGTAAGCAAGGGTAAAGAACATTAGTAAATTAGTAAAAATTAGTAAACAAGGGTCAAGACTCCAGAAATTCAACGCAAGTACAGAAAAGAGATAAATCATCCATAAAGGAAAGCCCATCAGAATCGCAGCAGACCTCTTAACACAAACTCTCAAGTCAAAAAGAGCTGGAAGTATTTCAAGCCCTAAAAGAAAACAAACTCCAGCACAGACTGATGTACCTTGAAAAACTACCTTTCAAAATTGATAAAGAAATATGATATTTCCATGACAAAGAGCACCTAAATTCATGCCAATCAAACCAACATTCCAAAATGTTCTGAAGGATATTCTAGAAAGAGATAACAAGGAATACAACTCCAATAACCCCAACAGAATTAATCCACCAGGCAAGGCAAATAACTAAACAAAGGAAGGAAAAAAAAAAAACACCAACAAGAAAGTAACACAACAAGGATAAGTCAATACCTAACAGTTATAACCATCAATGTAAATGGTCCAAATTCACCAATCAAAAGTAACAGACTGTCAGAACGGATCAAGAATCAAGATCCAACAATATGCTTCATGTATGCACATTTATTTCAAAAAGAAATTCATAGACTGAAAGTCAAAGGATGGAAAATAATACTCCATGCAACAAGAACCTGGAAAAAGCAGTGGTAGCTATTCTATTTGTAAAGTGAATTTCAAGGCAAGACTGATTAAGAGAGACTAAGCAGGTCACTACATCCTTGTAAAGAGAACAATCCAAGAGGAAGGGATAATAATCATAAATATATATGCACCAAATACCAGTGCATCCAACTATATAAAACAAATGTTGACAGACATAAGAAACTAAGTATGAATACAACCATAATGGGAGACCTCAATACCCCACTGTCACAAATAGATCAACTAGACAAAAAAAAAAAAAAAAAAAAAAAAAAAAAAATCAACCAAGAAATGTCAGAATTGAACCAAACTTTTCAACAAATGAACTTAGTGGATGCCTACAGAGTGTTCCACCCCACAACTGAATACATTCTCTTCAGCAGTCCATGGGACTTTCTCCAAGAGACCATACACTAGCTCATAGAACAAGCTTAAGTAAATGTGAAAGAACTGAAATTATCCCATGCATATTATCAGATCATAGTACAACAAAATTAGAAATCAATGGCAAAATAAACCAGAAAAACTTCATAAACATATTGAAATGAAATAACACCAATGGGCCACAGATGAAATTAAAGGAGAAATTAGAAGTTTCTAGTTAAATGCCAACGTAATATATTAGAACTTATAGGATGTAATGAAAGCAGTCATAAAAAGGAAATTTTTAGCAGTGAAGTCCTATATCAGAAAAACAGAGCAAACTTAAATAAATAACCTAAGGTTGAACCTCGAAGCTCTAGAAAAAGAAGAGCAAGCTAATCCCAAAGCACATTTGAGGGTCAAAATTATAAAGATCTGAGCAGAAATTAATGCAATTGAGACTAAGAAAACAATAAAAGGATCAATGAATTGCAGAGTTGGTTCTTTGAAAGATTAAATAAAATTTAAAAACCCCTGGCCAAACCTATCAAAAAAAGTAAGGACTCAAATTCACGTAATTAGAAATGAAAAGGGGGGCTGGGAATTTAGCTCAACGGCAAAGCGCCTGCCTGGCAAGCGCAAGGTCGTGAGTTCGGTT